TTGAAATAACTTGAATCCTTGCTCTAGTAATTATTTGAAGTAATGATTGAACACTTTAAGGTCAATAAGTCATATTGATGAAAAGGAGACGCAGAGCAGTTTCTGAAAGTTGTAAGTCTTTTTTTATGACAGGTTGCAAGTCCTTTTTAAACACTAGATCATGCGGAACATATTTATTGTCCCATTTATGTAAACACATCTCTCCCTCTCGATATTCACAATTTCTCTGCTTGCTACTTGCAGCGTTGGTCGAAGGTCTCTCAGCAATCGTTCTCATTGTTCTATTCCTCCTGCAAAAATTTGGTACTTCACGAGTGAGCTTCCTGTTCTCTCCTATCATGGGTGCATGGACTGTTACCACTCCTCTCGTTGGGATATACAGTATCATAAAGCATTATCCGAGCATATTTAAGGCAATATCACCCCATTACATTGTCCTCTTCTTCTTAAGAAATGGAAAACAAGGATGGATATATCTTGGTGGTACTGTCCTATGCATTACAGGTGAGCCTTGTTGTTGGTGTGGTCTGCAAAAGTTCTTCATTTTGATTAAGATATAAATCCATTTCCTCATGTTTTGAGTTCTTTTACTTTCTTTCCCTATTACTTTGCTATTAAGATTGGGCAAAATTTTGGACCAATTATCATGTGTGCAATGTCTACCCATGGCCGGAAAAGCTTAGACCTGGTGTCTTGTTTCATATCCAGAGAAACTCGCAAGGAGATGAGTGGAGGTGGAAAATATTATAAAGAATATGGAATGTCCCTGCAGTCACTAACTAAAAGGGAAATCCTTTATTTGTTTTCAACAGATGCTGATCTTCTTGTTTCCCGCACCTTGGGAAGGCTATAAAGATGTTTGAAGCAGATTAGTAAAATATCCTTTGTTTAATAGTACAATCATATCATTAATTTTTCAGGTTCTGAAGCAATGTTTGCTGATCTTGGTCATTTCAACAGGAGTTCAATTCGGGTAAAAATACTTGCGACGTCTTGGAATTTCTCTTAGTCTCTTCTTCTTGCTTGTTTATATGATTTAAGGAACCTTGTTTTCTGGCAGATAGCATTTTTCTGTACTATATATCCATCATTGGTGCTGACATATGCAGGACAGACGGCATATCTGATTAGAAATCCCGATGACCATTTTGATGGATTTTACAAGTTTATACCATCTGCTGTGTACTGGCCAATTTTTGTGATAGCCACATTAGCTGCAATAGTTGCAAGTCAGTCTCTGATTTCAGCCACCTTTTCGGTTATTAAGCAGTCAGTTGTGTTGGATTATTTTCCTCGGGTGAAGGTAGTTCACACATCCTCCAGCAAAGAAGGCGAGGTTTACTCACCAGAAGTTAACTACATCCTCATGATTCTCTGTGTTGCAGTCATACTAGTTTTCGGAGATGGACAAGACATCGGAAATGCCTTCGGTAAGATTCTCTAAACCCTCTGCTTTTAATCTTTCATTCTTAGGGGGAAAACAAGGATGGATATATCTTGGTGGTACTGTCCTATGCATTACAGGTAAGCCTTGTTGTTGGTGTGGTCTGCAAAAGTTCTTCATTTTGATTAAGATATAAATCCATTTCCTCATGTTTTGAGTTCTTTTACTTTCTTTCCCTATTACTTTGCTATTAAGATTGGGCAAAATTTTGGACCAATTATCATGTGTGCAATGTCTACCCATGGCCGGAAAAGCTTAGACCTGGTGTCTTGTTTCATATCCAGAGAAACTCGCAAGGAGATGAGTGGAGGTGGAAAATATTATAAAGAATATGGAATGTCCCTGCAGTCACTAACTAAAAGGGAAATCCTTTATTTGTTTTCAACAGATGCTGATCTTCTTGTTTCCCGCACCTTGGGAAGGCTATAAAGATGTTAGAATGTAGACAAGCAGATTAGTAAAATATCCTTTGTTTAATAGTACAATCATATCATTAATTTTTCAGGTTCTGAAGCAATGTTTGCTGATCTTGGTCATTTCAACAGGAGTTCAATTCGGGTAAAAATACTTGCGACGTCTTGGAATTTCTCTTAGTCTCTTCTTCTTGCTTGTTTATATGATTTAAGGAACCTTGTTTTCTGGCAGATAGCATTTTTCTGTACTATATATCCATCATTGGTGCTGACATATGCAGGACAGACGGCATATCTGATTAGAAATCCCGATGACCATTTTGATGGATTTTACAAGTTTATACCATCTGCTGTGTACTGGCCAATTTTTGTGATAGCCACATTAGCTGCAATAGTTGCAAGTCAGTCTCTGATTTCAGCCACCTTTTCGGTTATTAAGCAGTCAGTTGTGTTGGATTATTTTCCTCGGGTGAAGGTAGTTCACACATCCTCCAGCAAAGAAGGCGAGGTTTACTCACCAGAAGTTAACTACATCCTCATGATTCTCTGTGTTGCAGTCATACTAGTTTTCGGAGATGGACAAGACATCGGAAATGCCTTCGGTAAGATTCTCTAAACCCTCTGCTTTTAATCTCTCATTCTTAGGGACTATCTTAACTGAATTGATCCCTTTATGGAAGTTATCTTTCACTCGACTCCTCTTCGTAGGATGGTGGTTGTTAACATCGACTACTAGCATTTTCTTTACCTAATTTACTGCTACTTGGTGATGACTTGCTTACTTTAAGGGGTACCTGGTGTAATGCATTGAGCTAAACAAATTGTGAACCGGAATTTTCTCATTCTGTTTGTTCGTTGTTTTCAGAAATTGTCTCGTCTTGTTTAGCATTGTCCAATTAGAAATTTCACGAGTAGTGATAACGCACATATATGTGGTGCAAATCAAGTTCAACAAAATCGTCTTGTCTTGTTTAGCATTGTTCAAATAAAATTACATATATGTATGATCTTGTGTGTTTATATTAAGTTATAAATTGCATTTTTTCTTGCAACTGTTCAACTCTTTGGTATTGTCAGCATAGTAAATATTGCAATAACTAATTAAAATGATTCTCTTACAGGTGTTGTTGTTAGCATGGTTATGCTTATAACGACTATATTGTTGACATTGGTTATGATCATTATTTGGAGAACTCCACCAGCTCTGGTCGCGCTCTACTTCGTTGTATTTTTTGTGATGGAAAGCGTATATGTTAGTGCAATCTTCACAAAAATTCCCGAAGGTGGTTGGATCCCTTTTGCCATTTCTCTCATTCTTGCTTTCATTATGTTTGGTTGGTTCTACGGTAGGCAGAGAAAACTCGAGTATGAATTGACACACAAGATAGACTCGGAGCGACTAAGGACACTGCTAATCGATCCAGGTCTTCAGAGAGTTCCTGGACTCTGCTTCTTCTACACAAATATCCAAGATGGTTTAACCCCAATTTTAGGTCATTACATAAAGAACATGAGATCTCTTCACAAAGTTACTGTATTTACAACTCTTCGTTACTTGCTGGTTCCTAAAGTAGCACCAGGTGAAAGGTTTGTTGTTAGTAAACTAGGTCTCAGAGGGGTTTATAGATGTGTGATTCGGTATGGTTATGCAGATAAGCTTAGTCTTGAAGGAGATGATTTGGTTAATCAAGTCATCCAAAGTTTACGAGCTCACGTGCTCCACTGCTCCAATTCGTTGGAGGTTGACGATGAAGTTTCCGAGTTGGAAGAGGCAAAGCTTGCTGGAGTGGTCCATATTCGTGGAAAGACGAGGTTTTATATTGGTAAGGACTGTGGATGGTTTGATAGAACTATGCTTGCTTTCTATGAAGTTTTGCATAGCAATTGCAGATCTGCATTGCCTGCTATGGGTGTACCATTACCTCAACGTATCGAGGTTGGAATGCTCTACGAGGCGTAGGGGTGTGCAGAAACCGAACTGATCGATAAACCGAATCGAAAAAAGTGTTATTGGTTTATTGCAATTGGGTTATTAGGTTAACGGTTTCTTAATGGTTTTATAAAAAAAATTATCGGGTTATCGGTTCGGTATTGGTTTTCAATATTGGGTTATTGAGTAAACCGATAACTCATTAAGAGTTAAGACAATAGTAATATACTACTTTTACATATACATACATATTAGTAAATATTAATCTCAATATCTTAATAGTTATGTATTTGTCATTTAGCCATCAATTCATACTTCGCTGTGACTTTGAGTTCACAACTTTACATTATACAAATCGTTAACCTAAAGTAAGAACCATATTCCTCTTAGTTTCTCTTTGTGTTACACATGTATAGTTATTTTCATGTTTGTTATTATTATTTATATTTTATGAGCTTTTGTAAAGTTACATTATTATCTTGTCGTGTCAAGTTTATTAGAGAAGTCATATATTTATTTTATAAGCATTTTTATATTGGTTAATCCGAAAACCGAACCGTTAAGGAACAAAACTGATAAACCGAAAATCGATAAAAAATTATCTTATTGGTTTAGCGTATTTAAAAACCAAAAACCAATAAACCGAATCGATAATACATAAACCGAATCGAATCGACCGATGCACCCCAAGGCATAACAATCTGACATGTTGTTACTGGTTTAACTACAAGGCATTGAAAAAGTTCCAAGAAGATTGATCTCACAACAATAACAAGGTAAGATCAATATTGATCTTAACCTAGTATCCAAACATATATTTATATCTTTCATTTTTCAAAAGTTAAGAAGATGTATATTTTAGTGGGATATAGCATGTGTTGATAAATACTTATAATACAGAAGCTGAAAATATTGTTTAGTGGCCTGGGAGACTTTTTTAAAATCTTCTACATACTGATTTTGATAGGCTTCACTTAAAGTCGAGGGTCCATCAGAAACAACCTCTCTACTTTCATAGGACGGGAGTAAAATTGTGTATGCGTCATCCTCCCTTTTGTGACAGACATCTTTTTTAGTATTTCTTTTAGTAATTCCAAGAATTTGTGTTTTTGGTACAAATTAGAATTCTTAAATAACATGGTCTTCTTTTTCACCATTCTTACTCAAAGGGGGTTGCGATTTTATTATATAGATGGTGTTCATTGCATACATTTTACCCCTAATTACAGCAAAAAGAGCAAAAAATATAAAAACTTTCATCAACCGCTAAACCATTATAACTTAGTGGAGTATTGATTATCTATTGGCTTTATAATGGTTTATCATGTCTACAAATCGATAACCGCTAAGTTAGACTGATAAACTTCAATACCGACCCGACCCGATCGATAAGATGGATAAAGTTTTAAAAAGTTACAATCCATTTTTTTTTTTAATTTAGGAATGCCAATCATTTTTTTTTACCAAATTTGGAGTTTAATTTCTCAAAATCTTATATCCTAAACTATTAGATAGTCACTCCCCAGTCTATAAATTATCATCTATTTTTTTGCATAAACATAATCTTCATAAGCTTCACGACCACCATTAGCAATGACGAGACGTATTCAATCGACGAGCTCGAGGAGGGTCCAAATTCCAAAACCTTGTTATAGTCCAAATTATGAATTGTTTTAATCGACCACTTGGATAGTTAATTATAGACTAGTATAATTTACAATTAACTCACATGATATTGATTATAAATCGTCACCTTTCACATTTATTGAATTTGTACAAGTCTGACAAATCCCAAAATGAATAAGTATATACTAATTAAATTGGTCAGTTTATAATAAACAAAAGCCCTAATATATAATCAACATGTTAGTCTACAATCAACCTCAAGAATATATAGATCAAATATTTGAAGGTAAGTATAAGATACTATGTATGTTATTGTTGTTGTTGTGAAAGTAGACCAAATCAAATATTTGAAGGTAAGTATAAGATATACATACAATTTACCTTTTCTCGATTTTAATCATGCGATCACACAGAGTAGTTATTGTTCTTGTATAGCATTTCCATAAAGTACAAAAAATAGAGATAAGGTGGAAGATCATACTATATATATATAGTCGGACCTCTCTATAATTGTCATGTATAAAAATATTTCACTGTAATGGTCAAATTCCTATTTAAATTGATTTTTTATGTCATATTATGTTAAATGTTCTCTATAACATTATTTTACTTTAGCAATAAAAAATTGTTATTAAAAGGTTTGGCTGTGATTCTAGATTGAAAGAAGAAAATTATAATGAAAATAAACACAAGACTAAACAAAACTTGACAAGAATAGATACGAGCGTGATCTAGTGGTCAATGACGCAGTTGATTGAAAACCATCAATTTACAAGGTGATTTCTTTTCATTAATTTGTCCCGATGAACAAAGTGTTAGGGTTTTGCCCTGATTTTCTTACCATAATTTAAGATTTATTTTTCCTTAAAGAAAAAACAAAACATTACCATAAATGTTTTTACTTTTCTTGAAAGGAAAATATAATATTATTGTATATTTGGTTTATTCTCTCCTTTTAGGACTCCTTTTCTAGTA